ATGTGTATTTCCAAGAGATTGTGACTTACCAGTAGGTTCTGGCGTCTTTCTTTTGGGGTAGCTACATAGTGTCTCCTTGACTCTGCCTAATCTCTCTTATAATTCTGTATGGATTTTTTTCCCTGACTTTATTCTGCTAAGACATTGGCCAAAACAACTTTATTCATTATTCAATAAAAGTCACATATATACACTAAAACAGCCCAGAAAAGAACATTTCATCTATATTCACAAGGACGTGCTAGGTTCTCAATCTATCAGTAAAGCAATGTCCAATCATATTCCTGATTTCTACTTGTCAGGGTCTGTGTAGTGTCACTTTGCTGTCTAATTCTTTCCATATTTGTTCGTTCAACTCTTCCCCTGCCATGCACTGAATATCTTTGCATTTCTTATATTTACCATGACTAAAAGTGGACTTTCTTCCCCAAATTAAAATCTGTCCACTTTTTCATTCTGAAAGTTTTTTTCCCACCATCCTGTTTCACAAGAGAAAGCAGAGAAAATTTGAGGTCTCTTTGACTCGTCTTGCTGCTCTCACATTCTTCCCCGTAATCAATGAGTACATTAGCTACTTTAATAAAATCAATGCAGACATATTTGTCTTCTTACCACCTCACTTTCAACACATTTGTCTAATTCTGTATGTAACGTCTCTCTTCATTGAGATAGTCTGTTCCCAACAAGAGTTCAGCATAAGACTTTTAAAATGTAAGGTATATGATTTTCATGCTTCAAAAACATCTAGTACTGAAACAATTAGCATTGGACAGATATCACATAATGTCTAAAGCTAATTCTTGGCAATGGGATTCATCATGCCTTTGTCAAAATGAGCAAACTTTTCTTGCACTATCATGGTAATGTTTATCCTGTGCATTTAATACCTCTCAAATGTGAAGGATATTATCGGGCACATACATGTTTTAATGTTTATTAATAGATAAAGCATGGGTTATGAGTTATTTCTGTGTTAAATTGTCATGAATTTAAATGTAGCAAATTGAACTGTGAGGATAAGCATATATTGAAGTGTTAACATCTCCCAGTCTCACCTTGATAATAAAGGACCCAAGACCTACACACCACTCTTCTGCAGAGAGATTGTCTAAGTATTCCCTATATATCATTTGAAGACATTAGAATATCTGGAATTACATGAGATGTCTAACAAGATCTAGACAACTTTTAGCTTCCAAAATGAGATGAGAAGATAAAATCTAATAAATATATGTATATACATCATTATGGGAACATAATTTAAGAAGACAAATCTTCTAATAGATTTTTTTATATGCTTGTACTTGAAGGTAATTTTGCATATATGTGTTTAGAGTAAACAATCCTTGATTTGAGATATTCCTGTTGCCAGGTTAATGTCTTTCTCTTTTTCATAATTTAGAAAAGACTTCTTTATTTCTATTTATTTAAACCTATTTAAAGTCTTTTTTATATCTTTTGAAGCTGCTTAGAAATTAATTTAGGTGTCATTAGAGCTGGCAGTTTAATTTCTTTTAATGAGGTTTGTAACATAGCTGCATGTAGAAGAAATTAACATTTTGCTTTGGAAAATCTAAATTACGCCACCTTATTCAACACCATAAATATGTATAGTGTATCAATATTGATTTACTGACAACAATAATTGAATAAAGGAAGGAGGAAAGAGCAGGTGTGCATGTGCTTAAATTATAACAAAATATTTGAAAGCTGGATTATTTTTCTTTTTTCTTTTCAGATATATGGTTACATGGATATTGATACTGCTGCTGCTTGTCTCTGAATATTTTATTATATTTTAAATTTTAAATTATAAAGTATTCTGTTGATACAATAGATTGCCCTAGTAATCTCAGTTCTAGATGTGCTTGCTCACAAACTGCATTACAGTTCCTCCAATTTCTTGTGATCTAATGGGTTCTATCTCTCCTTTACACCTTGTCTTTCTGTTGTCCTTCCATCCTGGACATTTTATCTGCTCTGTCTGCATCTGATAAAGGTAGCCCCGGCATTTCATGGACAAGGTCACTTTAATTGTCCTTCCCAGGTAATGTCAGTGTGGCGACACTGTTAGTTACACTGTCTCCCTAGACTTACCTCATATTCTTCCGTGGTGTCTGGCAGATAGCTGCGACACAGTGCCAGCTCCCACTCTCCTTTCCAGAGTATCTTTGCTGGTTTGTGTGTTTGCATTTCAAAGGTATTTTTGTGTTAATGATAATCAACTAAGCCTTGTCCAATATCTTTCCTAAGGCAGTATAAATAATTGCTTCGGCAATGATAAGAATCTGACATGATCTTCTATGATTGCTTGGAGTGTGGGTGTGAATTTATTGTCAAAAATTAGAAAGAGGACATAACTAGAAAATATCATTCTATTTGTAACAGTATGACTTAGTACTTCGAACTGTATATCCTTGTTTGAATTTTAGCATGTCTTATTTACATAGCATCTCCTCTCTGAGTTGTTCAGATGATGAATAATGCAATTCCTTAAGTGAATTAGCCCTGTTCACTATGCTGTTCTGGCAATGTCTGGGGCTTGATGAAATTTGAAAAGAGTAGTATTCCTGGAAAGTGCTGGAGACAAGGCTGGGCCAATTTGCCCCTGAGGAAAGCCTATTTAAACAAGACCTCACTGTGGGATACATAAACAATGCACAGTACTATGATATGGTACAAAAAAAAAAATCTTGAAAGCAGAAAGTTTTTAAAAAGCAGAGGAAAAACCACAGGGGTATATCTGCAGCATTGTACAGTCCAGCATTTAAAGAAAAATTATTTGCAGCATCACATTGGAATAGGTATTAAAGACGATCCGTCACATGATTCCATTCCATTTAAATTCTATCGATTTTCACTACATGCTGAGTGAACTTGTGTAAGCAGTCCATCTCTCTTTTTCTAATTACAAATTTAAAATTAAAAATATAGATAGTAAATATCTGAATAAAGATAACTAAAAAAGATTATTTCCTAAAACGTAAATGAATAGAGTCCCATAAAACATAATGGATGGCAAACAGTAAGAAATGGATAAAAAGACAGCCTTTATTATCATTGGTTGCCTGTTGATATCTAATATGAAGAAGATAATTCTACTGAGAGCCTGAGGAAAATGATTTCTTATCTTGTAAACCAGAAACAGAGAAATCTTGCCTATAGCTTAAGAAAGATACAACTTGCACGTAAAATCTATGTGTGCTTTTTGTGTCACATTTTCAGCTATGGATTTTTAAAGGGCTCATCCTTTCATACATGCCTTTTTTTTTTTTTTAGGGAGGGGATAGACAGTTAGAAAAGGTGATTGCTAATTCATTACCTTGACAACAAAGAGAATCAATTGTGAAATAAGCAAAAAAGACAGTCTTAACACTTTCTCAGCTTCTTCATATTTAGCTGCAAACAGTCAATTCCCTTTAACTAAACTTAGAGCTACTTTTTGAAAGATATTACAGTAAAACTTATAAAGAATTGGCAAAAATTAAAATTCGGTATATATTTAATTCAGCTGGATGCATTTTATTTTTACCCTACTATGAGTTTGTGTTTCTGGAATAGGATTGAGATAGTAACATTATAATTTTTATTTAAATGCAATAATTTTTACAGAGCAAACTCTATTTGCTTAACACTACTCAAAACATTTTACTAGCTGTTAATGACTTCAGACATAGTGGCATTTCTAAGAAATTTATATTTTACAATGAAGAATAATCAATGCAACAGAGATTAAATGAATTTTTCAAATTTCTAGGATTTGAACCATGATATTTGAGCTCCACAAGGTAGCCTCACAGGCCAGTTACACTACTAGGTAAATATGTAACTTTGAAAGAAAGTTTGCTGGGATAAGGTTTGTGTTAATTTGAAGATCCTCTTAACTATTGTTCTTCATGTAACATTTTTACTGAATTAAAATAGAAATATAGTTCATTTGCATCAGAATAATTAGTCTATATCACAACAATTCAATTTTGTGATTTCTCTGCATAAATCAGCTTACCATGAACTTTTAAGAATTCTATATTAATTTAAAATATTTTGATGACACATAATATTTGTACATATTTATGAGTGATGCTGCCATATTTTGATTCATGTAGACATTGACAGCAATCAAATCATGACAATTATCATATATGTGACTTTACATTTTATCATGATGTATAATGATTTTTATGATGAGTATATTTAAATTCCTCTGTCCTAATTCTTTGAGATGTTAATTTCAAATATTCTCTTTTGTATGCTTATCTGGAATAATTTGAGAGTCAAGAAACTAAAAAAGACTCCATTTTGTGGGCAAATCCATTAAGGAGGAGACAATAAAATATAGAAGCAATGAAAGTAGTAATGGGATATTCTGGGGACAGAAAGTTTTAAGTATAGAGTGTGTAGGGGGTTGGGGGATGGAGGGCAGGAAGGAGACTTAACAAAAATAATGGGTGTATGCAAAGCTATATGTAAATCTATAATCTCCCAAACAAGGAAAAGTATGATGAAATGTGAGAAAAGTATAATTTAGATGTTTAAATGTGAATGGGGATTAGGAAAAGAAAAGTTTAAAGGAAGGAAGCCTTAGCCTTAGCCAAAGGAGGAATACATATAGAAGCCATATGGAAATCCACTAGTTTGCATGCTAAACCTTTCTCCCTACCCACTGCCTCTTTCTATTCCTCTCCCCAAATCCTCTCCGTCACATACACACACACACACACACACACACACACACACACACACACACATTCTGTCTGAACAGAAATAAGACTATACAGGAAACACGAGTTATTCAATGAAAATCTCTGTCACAGAGCACCTAACTAAGATTTACAAGTCATGGGGATTAAAAACATAAGCTTTATGTTTGAATATGAGGACTTATTGTAAAAGAGTCTCAACTGGGAGATCATATGTTCTAACAGAGAATGTACCTCTGTTGGTTTACTAAAAGGTAAGGCTGTCAGATTATTTCTAAACATTTATTTTTATATCTGCAGGTGTATTTGTTTGTGGTAGGTAGCGGCTAATACAAAGACTCATAACTGAATGAAATGTCAAGTATTAGTGACTGTGTGCTGAGATTTGAAAGGGATGCTTATTTCAAACTTCCCTATCTCAGGCAACTTTAAGGAAGAATTGTTGCAAGACCAAGGAAGCTGATGGAGGGAAGAGAGTTGTGATACACCAACTGCCAAATGTGACACCGCTGTTGTCCTCATCGGCTCACTATGATCGGGGCTATCCGCAGAAGATGAAACCAGTCAGAATTCCAGCGTATGTGGAGCAGGGGATCTGGAAGCCATTGCAACTGCAATAACATCTGGCAATTGGTCTCCATTTGTAGGTAACTTGGGTAGGTTCCCCAGTGAACAGCTCCATATGCGTGAATATGTTGACAACATTAATTGCACTACAGCGAATATGAATAAGTTTTAAAAAATAAAGAGAGGAGGTGAAGTTGCCAGTGAGTCAGTGTGTGGGGCAGAAGGGAGCAGCAGAGGAAGAGAGTGGAGGATGGGCAAGATCAGAACATGCTTTACAAAGGCAAGGGAGTACTGAAGACTCATGGATAAATAAAATATTAGTATAAAAGATAAGCGTCTGAATTTGTTTCATACTTGAAACACTCCTGTTTGTCTAGTTGTTAAATCTATGCCAACTTACGAATCAACATAGGTGAAAAAACTGACACGCGAGTCTGCTGTTGATTCAATGCCGTATTTTAACACTCATCTCCAGTGCCGTTATGTCAGGAATGAACCGACTCATTGCCTAGACAACGAAATATTAGTCTCCTACTATCAGGTAATTGATCCCTTACTCATGGTTCTTATAATCCATCTATTTTTGTGCTAAAATGTGATTAATAGCATCGAAACTTTCATAGTATATTAAATATATTTGAATATATATATATATGTATGTATATATATATTAATTTTACCAAATAGAAACCTCACCAGGAAATTATATGTTTAAGTATAAATTGAGGACTCAAACAATGGTGATGTCTCCAAATCATCTTTAGCCTTCACTAAAATGCTATTTGTGAAAAAAAAAGAGATTTTTAACTTTTTTTGACATACTGATTTGAACGTAAGGTGACTCACAAGCGACACATTCAAGTCAGCACTGAACTGTACACACTTTTTAACTTGTTATTTTGAAAGAGTCTCACTAAGTTGCTTGGGCTTATATTGAACTCATTTTCTAGTGCAGGAGAGTTTTGAAAGTCTGACCTTCCTGTCTAGGTTCTCAAGTAGCTGAGATAATAGGCAGATACAATTAGAAATACTTTTTAACTATTAACATGGCTATTTTGGGGAAAATAATTTTGATCATGATTTTAACACAAAAATCAAGTCAGGTATGCATTAAAATTTGAAAATGTAAAATAAAAACTGGCAATTAGCCCTGAAGAATTAAAAGCTTATTTTTACTATTATCATATGCTTATGATTATGTCTGCTAATTTAATTATAATGAATTATGTGCTTATTTCCATTTTATTTATTACATTTTCCATTTAGTAGCATGCATTAGAATTATTATAGTGAATGGTAGTAATAATTTAGTGAAAGTAAACCTGCATATCTCTATCAAAATTATAACAACAACTATTGAATAATGCATTTATTAGGATTCATGTTTCAATATAACTAGTAATTTACTACACACACTGTGATAAATGACAAGGGATGAGCATTCAAAATCATTCTGGATGTATCATTAGCTATTCAGTTCACATTCTTACCTATACAAAATATCTAAAATCATCTAACAGCTTCCTGAAAAGAGCTCCAGCTCAAGTTATTAATATTTTTATTTAAATGCACATCATGACTTTTCCTTCAGGACAAGTAAAGCTTATTTTATAATACTGTGAAAAGAAAAGCAAATTATGATTCTGTCACTATTCACAAAAGGAATATATCTGGCTTTGTTCCTATTATGGGCATGTAGGTCTCATATGATGATACACATCCACCACAATCAAACAATCCATTAACTTGATAAATGATATAACATCCTTAGTTTGTTAATCTTGATACACACATGTATCAGTCATCAGAAAAATCAGTGATCAAGGTAAATTTTTAATTCCTTAAACATTTTTAAATTTATCTATTGGAGGAATTGAATGTGACAATAATTTTGTTTAACCATGATCACAGAACTTGACATTAAAAAACCTATGCCTATTTTTAATAAAAAATATAATGAGCTCACATATTCTAGTACAGATGAATTTCATTGAGGCTTAGTTTTCTACATGGGAAAACTATAATGTGTATCTTGAAACTGATTCCACAAATACGTGTCTTAGAAATACATATCCATTGAGCAAAAGTGACTCTGATGTCTTTGACCTCATTCAGATGATACAAGCTTTGATGGGATATGATTATTGAAAGGGAAAAAGGAAAAACACTGAAAAAAAGCTATTTTCCTTTTCCATTTAATATTTTGATACAGCCAGTATATAATATTCTGAACTGCAATTAATAATGTGAGGTATGGTGGATATTCAATAAATAATTACTTCATTAAAACATTGAAAGCTGTTTGCAATCCCCGTACTAAAAATCCTTTATTATTCATAAAAAGAGAAAATTCATCGTTTTTAAAATTTATTGCGCATACCAACCACAGTTTCCCCTTTTCCTTTCCCCTCCCCTCTTCCCTTTTACCTCCCAACTACTCCTTCTCCAACTCCATTCATATGGGGTAAGGCCTCCCTTGGGAATCAACAAAGGATGGCAAATCAAGTTGAAGCAGGACCAAGTTCCTTCCCATTGCATCAAGGCTGAACATGGCATCACATCATAGGGAATAGGTTCCAAAGAACCAGATTCTGCATCAGGGACAGGTCCTGGTCTCACTGCCATGAGCCCCACTAAAGACAAAGCTTCATAAGTGTCACCCAGATGCAGAGGGTCTACATCAGTCCTATACGGGCTCCCTATTTATGTGCCCAGAGTCCATGAGCTCTCACATGCTCAAGTCAGCTGTCTCTGTGTGTTTCCTCTTTAAGATCTTGACTCCCTTGCTTAAATAATCCCTCCACACTCTCTTCACTTGGAATCCTGGAGCTAGGCTCAGTGCTTGGCTGTGGATCTCTTCCATCTGCTACCATTAGGTAAAGGCCTCATGATGGCAATTATGGTAGTGACTAATCTTATTACAGAAAGGGATCATGTTAGGCACCCTCTCCTCTATTGCTAGGAGTATAAGTTGGGCCACAATTACAAGCATTTCTCAAAGTTAACGACATCTTAGGCTACTATGTCACAGGAATGAGAAAGGATGTGCCAAATCAGCTTAGAAGACTTACAAAGCTTTCCGAACTGATAGACGTGGTGAGGGCTCTACAGTAACCTAGAAAAAGAATGTTTGAATATAACATGATGCTTATTTTACTGCACAAGTACTCAGTGCCCACAGCATAGAGAAACACATTTGTTGTTAGTTGTACAGACTGTCTGGATACAAGATTAGCAAATATCTGGCAGTTTTGCTAGAAGAGACCATATGTGTGACACACAATTGCTGGAACATAGTAGAGGCACAAACTATGTTAATTATTTCCTTACACTCCTGCTGTCTCCGTGACTTGAAAATAGCTTCTCAGAGAAAATATATGTTCCCTTAAAAGGGGTTTAATCACAATAGTTTACTATATACTATTCAATTCATGAAATAAAAAGAAACCTTTAAAACATGCATGCTCACTTGGAAGGTGCTGTGTTCATATGTTGAAGAATAATCCATTTCTGGGTCAATTATTTGCAAGTATAAATGTATATGCAACTTTACAAGTCTCACACATGAATGTATTTCTTTGGTCAGTTGTCTGTTCTCTCTGTTATAGTCTCCATATTTCCTGAGCTCTAGTTTCATATGGCTTTACAAAGTAGAGGAAAGAGAATACAATAAAGATACATTTCTCCTCAGTTCTACTTAGCGATGTGTCCTCAAAACATTCTTATCAGGAGAGAGTAAAACTCAGATCATCAGAGACACTTCAAAGCCATATGCCTAGCCAAAGGGGTATTGGATTTGTTGTTCACTAATGAGCTGTAAGCATTTGTTCAACTTGAGCATTGTGAATTTGCATTCACAGCCATACTTTCTTTCCTCTGAGTGTGAATGCCAGCTCCTGAGTTGACCTCCAGTTCTCTTTCCTGAGTGAGCTCATATCTTTTGTCTCCTCCATCTATCTTACATTTTTTCCTTGAACTAACTAAGATTTTCTACCATTTTAGGTTTAATTCTCTTTCTCCAACTTTCAACTCCAGCATCCTCATTGCACCCCATTCTTAGCACAAAACTGTTTTCCAAGGTTTTAATACATTTTTTGAGATTATAATATAGTTACATAATTTCTACTTTCATTTTCTCCCTCAAACCCTTTCTACATACCCTTACGTGTTGCTCTAGTTCAAATTTATGAACTCTTTTTTTCTTTAATTTTCACACACATACACACACACAAACATAGACATCCCCAAATAAATTAATAAATGTAAGATTCTCAATATTTACAATGTTATTGAATCTATTTGCGTAAATGCTTTAGGGGCTTAGTATTTGTGTTTGTATTTCTGACTATTTAAATTATTTAAATAACATATCTATCTATCCTTCATCAAGTTATCCATCCATCTCCTAAACCTTTGAAGAAAAGTCATTTGGATACCAGCTTCTTTTCTAAAATGGATTCAGAATTTTAACACTGTTTTGTGATCACAAAGGATGACTTAGGGAGAATAATCATCAAAACCATTATAAAGAAAGGAAAGCATAATAATTACTTAGTAGATGTTGCTTTAACTCTCAGCTTGTCACATTAATAGACTTGAAAACCACAATATATTTTAGTGTAAAGGACCTAAGAACCCAACCAGATATTAAGAAGGTATCATGTTATTAAGATAGCTAACTTTTTGTCAACTTCTATATGAATATTATTCAATGCTAAACATTATACTTTAAGAGAGCAATCATTTTACTTTAACAATTACATGACCCTGTTTCATTTATTTTAGCCATCAGGAGGATGGCTTCAAAAGGATTTTATCATAAAAGGAGTAGTGAAGTAGTTTGTGTGTGTGTGTGTGTGTAATGTGTGTAGGCATATTTGCATGCATCGTACACTTATGGTTATGTGTGAATAATTATACAACTAGACTACATACTCTATCAGAAAATTCTTTCTCAAGAGCATATATTCTGTCATCAGTACATGCAAAAGTTCGAGTGTTAAGTACTAAGTTAAATGTTAAGTAGGATATATGTCTCAGGCAATTAATGCATGAAATTTCTTCTATACAACTGAGTAATTATGACACCTAATTAAAAGGCTTACAGTAAATATTGACTAAGATTAGTCATATTTAAACACTTAATATCAAATATTCATTATTGAGATTTATTTTAAGTGCTCTGGTGTTTGCCTACAAATATGTCTATGTATAACAAGTGTGCAGTTTTCATTGGGGACAGAAAAATGTGAAGAATCCACTGGTTCTTTAGGTTAAGATAGTTCCTAGCA